GCCACAAGGTTTAAAAACAACTCCTCTCATGATGACTCATCTTGGAGCAAAACAAGTTCTGGAAAGTACCAGAAGTCACAAGGATGACTCATCTTTGAGCAAAACAAGTTCTGGAAAGTCCCAGAAATCTGGTCTAAACCGGTTGAGGTGCAAAACAGCACAGAAGTTACTGGAAAAGAGATGATGTAATTTTCCATAACCCCTCCTTAAGAGGAGGGGGGATGAATAAGTCTTTAAATACAGACTGACCAGAACAAAGGTTGGTCAATGCAGTTGGAGACGAACTGGAGGAGCTGAGCAGAGAGGACTACAGGCGATGGACAAACTCTTCGAATCAGAGGGACCCTAAAAAGGAGTCGGATTATACCAGTTTTTGGACGATGATGGGAGTTAATTCTTTTCTTCACTAAACATGAGATTGGATTTTGGCTTTACTTCATCAACCCAGAAACTGGGGGAGTTTCCTGCTCTGTGCTTGACCTAGGGCCCGTCCAAAGCCTCTGATTCTCTAAATTGGATAGTCCTATTCGCCTTTGAGGATTCGGCCAAGTGTCTCTCCCCTAGAGAACTGGAAATCTGCCCTTACCCCATGGTGACTCACTAAGGGTCACCTCAAAATCATGGTAAGAGGACGACCTCAATCCTACTCTGCTCTAATTAAATTATTTCATCAGATTGGAAGAACAGCATACAGAACAAATTTGGGAGTACTAAATTGGTTACTGGTAAGATTTGCTCGAAGGTGTTTCTGGTTCATGAGAGAGTTGAGAGAAAATATATTTTGGCTTGAGTTGTGAAAGGTCTATGTGAAGGTAGTATCTGTAAAACCCTTCAAGGGCTCTTGAGGTTTAGAGTTTCACAGATAGCAGTCACCACCTTGTTAGGGAAGAAAGTGTATCCTATGTACTCATGAAAATTTAATCATTATAAAATCGTGCCTGTTGCTGTACCCATGCGCTAATTATTGATTAAAAGCAAAGCAAAATGTATAAATTTGGACTCTTATTTCACTCTTATCAATTAAATACATGGTAAAGCTTGGTTCATCTATCAACACCAATAATAGGAGGTTTTTGTAAAGGTTTCCTAGCTGATAAACAACATCCTTGAGCCCGTTGCCAGGGCTCTAAAGATTACCAGAACAGTTAACAATTGCAACGCTAAAGTGAGAGGTGAGCGGCCACAACGCGAGTTTCTCTGGACTGGAAGATCCATCCCGGCTGCTTGAAGGATCGAGGTACAGAGTGAGATTAGGGTGTGACTCACGGATTTAAGGTCGTTAATATTCTGGATGAATCACCTCGCCGCAACCTTAATGAGGTTATTTTAGACAGCTACTGGTAATACCACGGCGCTGAAGTAGACTCGAGGACCCCTTGGTGGAGAGGTTGCGGGCAAGGGTGTTATCACTATCTCCAGTGGTTACCTTGCCCACCGGAAAGCAGACATGGCACCCCAGATGGGACCAGAACAGTCCCAGAAGTGAGGACGCGCTACAGAGGACTGATAGGCGTCAGAAGAGCAGCTCTAGAGAGTGAGGAGCTGTCAGTGACTGGGAGACCCCCCAGTTAGTACCCCCAATAGATCACTAGAGGCTAGTGAGGAGGGGTAGAAGGCTTACGAGGGTTACTGACCATAATCCAGAATCGTAGGTAAGCAGCTAGTCTGTCCTAGTCCAAAACGTTAGGATAAAGTCTGGAGACTTTGAGGACCGACCAACTTGACCCGACAAGAAAAGACATAACGATGGCCTCAGGAGGGGCATCTACGAGCGTAGAGCCAGACAGACACGAGCCGGCTCAGGAGAGCCAAGAAGAACAGAAGCCAGTAGAAGGAAAAACAGATGGCCAAAAGATAATGGTACAAAAAACAGGAGAAAAACCAGTAGGAGTAACCAAGGCGGAAGTCATCCTATATGGAAAAGGGTATCATACCTGGAGTCCAGCAGTGAAGGAAATACTAAGAGAAAGTAATCCCCTGCTAGACGGAAAAGCACTAGAGGACGGACTGGAAAAATTTATAAGAGAAAAAGGAAAGTTTTGCTGTACGACAGCCCGGAAGGGAGTCCAAACAGTGGTGGTAAAAGACCCAGGCGAAGCAAAATCAAAAAAAGAAGTAAAAACGTGGTTACAATGGTGGGTGCAACAAATAGAGAAACAAAAACAAACGACCATAGTGTCAGTAATTAGCCCCTCAATCGAGTATGACCCCATAGTAAAGATGATATCCAAAGTGACAGGATTAGATGGGTATATCACAAACCCTACATGCAGGGCAACAGCAAAATATAAAGAGTGTGAAGAAGAATTGGCAAGGATGCGGGAGTATAGAAAAGAGAAAAAATCAGAAATGGATCCTGAAAGTGAGCACAGCTCCATTGCACAAACCCCCGAAGCGTCGGAAAATGAAGAAAACCAAAGCGAACCAGAGGATGTAGTTTTAAAGAATATACCCCCCCTCGATATTAAAAGGGAAGGAGAATACCCAGGAGGCACAAGGCTATGGCAGGGAGCTTACCCTTCAACCTCTAAACGCCCCCCCACGTTCGTGAGCTCCACTCCAAACCTGAGCGCGTACAGAGAAACGTACAGAGAAACTCCCAAATACCATTCTGACACAGACGAGGAAACCAGAGCAGAGCAACTGAGATTACTAGCAGGTATGATCAAAAAGGAAAATGAACCTGAAGAAAGTAATGACAGCTCAGGGTGTAACGACTATCTTAAACAGGTTGACAAGAACTTAGACCTGCTCGCCCAAAGCATAGTGGCCAGAATGGGGAGGCTCGAAACCACTGAAACCGGGCGGGCAGAAAGGGGGTTACGAGGAATGCGAGAGCAGAAACAAACAGAACCACTAAAAAACCAGCCGATTAAACAAGAAAATCCTAAACAGAACCCCTCAGGAGAAACCCAAAAAACTTATGGGAAAAAGAAGGCTAAAGTAAAACACTTAAAACCAGAACCTGAGTCAGAAAACAGTCAAGAGGAAGGGGAAAAAGAAAATTCACAAAAGAAACAAAAAATTAGGCAAACAGCAGGGCTCAAACAGGTCCTAGAACCACTCCCGAAAGAGACTCAATGTGTGAAGTTTCAAAATGGTACCCGAGTATACCAAGTGATAGGGACACCATGGTCTATAGAGGCAGATGCGTTACTGGTGTTTACAAATCATAAGTACAAAATCCATAACTCAACCTACAGAAAAGCTTTAAAGAAAGTAGCCGGTAGGGAGTACCAAGTTGAAATAAAACAACTCACCGGTGGACCACATAGCGAAGAGCCAAAAACAAGAATGACCAGTGGAGCTGATGCTCCGTACTATGCAATAATACACATCCCAATTCGAAGCTATAAAGAAGCAACCGATGAGACCAGGTATCTCAAGGAAATGTTAGAAGCTCTGCAGAAAGGAGTGTTCCGAGCCATAGAATTCGGCTTCAGGCGCATAGTAATAGGAATAGATGGGCTCCGGTCCCACCATTTGCAGTGGGAAACAGCTGAGAGAATAGCGGTCAATTCAATGACGTACCTGGCCAAAGACATGCCAGCAGAAGCCCACTTAAAAGAAATGATTATAGTGACCCCCACTCATCTAGATGAAGATCGAAAATCCAGGGTGGTGGCCGCAATGACAAAACGAGAAGAGAAACCAATTAAAGAACCCCTAAAGTTAGGGAGAGAACACACAGAAAAATCATCGACACCGGGATCATCACAGGGAACCAAGAAAAGTGAAGACCCGTTAAGGATCAGTCCTCAGGGGTCAAAAATGTCCCTGACCTCATCTACAGAACATGACCTGATAAATACAACCACAAGACGACGCAGAAGCGGAGCAGAATCGCGAGAGGGACAGCCAAAGAAAGAGACAGTAACAAGAATACAACCCTTAAACATAGAGAGTGAGGAGGATGACGACGAGAGCTCTCAGGGAGAACCAGACGTAGACCCGAGTCAGGAAGACACCGATGACGAAGGTAGTGCCAGTCTAGAATCCATAGCAGGCCAATACGACGGTCCAGTTAAGCCCTTAAGAATAGGACAAAGGAAAGGACAAAAGAAGGGAGTAGAAATACTGGACGTACATAAAGTATCAGAAAGGTTAGCCAGGGACTTGAGTTGGGGCCCGGTGCAGGCGAGTGATGGGCGTCGAACTTACATCCCTGAAGCTGGCCAAAATCACTATGACATTCCACCAGTATGGGCAGACAGGTCAGAAGAAACAGTGGAACTGACTGTTAAAGCTACTTTGGGAGAGTGGGCCAACATTTTGATGATGCCCTCATACCCCACATTGGCAGCCCACAAACCCCTAACTAGTAACTTTAGGACCGCTTATTTAGGGATAGTACATGATGTGATGCTGAGAAGAATGAAAAAGACAGCCTACAAGTATGCCCAAGAAACAGAGAAGAAATTGCGAGATGAAATATCGGCCGATGAGGAAGATGATACATACCCGGCCGAGACAAACCCACCGTACCAAGTGCCTGAACCAACCCATGAGCCCGGGCAGGCTAGACAAAACCAAGCTACAGGCCCAGAAACTGACAGTTACCGTGAGTACAAAAAGCTGAAAACCTTAGTGAGAGAAAAACAACCCCAGGAGACCACTGAAGAATACATCAAAGATGTGTGGCCCATGGTAGTTAGTTCCACTGAGTGTGATGCAGCAAAGAAGCTATGGCTAGGTAATGTCACCACAAACCCAATGAGTAAAGGAGAATCAGCTCAAAGCCAGTATGAGAAACTAGTCCTGGAAGATATGGATGACGAAGATTCTCACATTCAGCGGGCTAGGATGCGCATGGATCAAGGCCAACGCCTTACCCCGGTTTGGTATCAACTTAAACAAGTAATTCCCCCTAAAAGGTATGTTAAAGCCTTAAGGATCGTATCCAAGGGTAGAAGGGGAGAGCTCACCTTTGCCAGAATGCCTCATGAAACTAATGACGCCCAGATAGACCAGGCAGTAAAATCGTATGACCTAGAGCAGCTGTTCTGGGAAGAAAAGAAGAAAAGTGAGAGCAGGCAAAGTCAAAAACCACCAAAGCCGACACAAAAGGCCCCTCAACAGCCACAATACAGAGAACAGCCCCCGAGACAGCAAGGGACACAGTACAGAGAGAGACCACCCAGGCAATCAGAGCCACAATATAGGAACCAACAACCAAAACGATTTTCAGCTCCAGCCTCAATCTCCACACCACAGAAAGGAGGTAAATACCTACCCCCGGAAGAATATGCAAAACTAACCCCTGAAGAAAAAAGAGCCCTCCATGAATCCCGTGAGAAAGGGAGTGGAGGGCCAGCTAAATAATGGCAGATAGGTTGCGGGTCACTCTGGAAGATGCCTATTGGGAGGGGGACGAAATCTACACTAAAGTGGAGGGAGAACCTTACCTAATAGATTCCGGGGCTGAGGTGTCTATGACCCGCAAAAACCTAAAAACAGTAGGACACCTGACAGTTCAGTTAGCAAATGGAAAAATTGAAACAATGCCTTACGGGTTATGGCAAGGAATTGTGTGGATAAAAGGGCCTTATAACCTTATGACAATTACCGATCTGAAAGAACTAAAGAAACCAAAAAAGAATCGGAGAGCCTTAAATAGAAGGTTAGAGAAGTTAAAATCTAGGCTAGTAAAAATAGGGTTCACACACAAACAAAGTGAGTCCGAAGACTGGTATAAACCTGTAAATATCCCTGAAGTGACAAAACAAAAAATAGATGAAAGTGACTTCTCCCCGGCTGGGAAAGAGAAGTTAAAACAAATACTAGAGAAAGCCTCAATAGCCAGATTTAAAAATGATTGCGGGGATCTAGGCCCAAAGTTTGTGCATATAATCGAAGGAGGAGTACACCCACCTGTAAGACAATATCCTCTAAATCCCGGAGCAGTTGAAGAAATGAACAAAATTGTGAAAGAATTAGGAGCGTTAGGAATTATTAGGGAAGAAACAAACCCCATAACTAACAGCCCGATCCAAGCAGTTAAGAAACCCGAATCAGCAGGAGGAGGGTGGCGACCAGTGATTAATTTCAAAGCCCTTAACAGACGAACAGTAGCCAACAGAGCGAGTTTAATCAACCCGCAGGGCACCCTGAAAACTCTACAAGTGAAAAAGTACAAATCTTGCATTGATTTAGCAAACGGATTTTTCTCTCTTAGGCTGGCAAAACAATCACAGGGAAAGACAGCTTTTACCCACCAAGGAAAAAGTTATGTTTGGCAGCGGCTACCGCAGGGATATAAAAACTCTCCTAATGTATTTCAGTCGGTCGTGATGGACGTGCTCAAAGACTTAGGCGCCACAATTTACATCGACGATGTGTTTATCGCAGATGACACGGAGGAAGAGCACCTGGAGAGGTTAGCTAAAGTGGTGCAGCGAGTCACAGAAGCAGGATTGAAACTGAATTTGAAAAAATGCCAGCTTGGACAGTTCCAAGTTAATTATTTAGGGTTTCAAGTGACAGCAGACCTAGGACTCTCAGAAGGGTATAGGGAGAAACTCGAACAAATTCAGCCTCCTGAGTCAGAGAACGACCTACAGAAGATCTTAGGACTGTGTAATTATGTGAGAGATCATGTCCCTAACTATCAGAGATATGCTAAACCACTGTATGCCTGTCTAAAGAAAAAAGAGAATGACAGTCAAGATAGCAAAAAATCATGGGTCTGGACAGCAGAGAACCAACAGAACTTAGAAGAACTTAGGAAAAAGATTCAGGAAGCAGTAAGGCTAGAACCAAGAAGCCTAATGACAAAACTCATAGCTGAAGTCAGCTGCGACAGTGATGATGCCATGATAGCCGTGAAGAACGAAAACGGTGGATTAGTTACTCTATGGAGTTACACCTTGACCTCAGTAGAGAAAAAGTTTCCTCAGGAAGAAAAAGAGCTAGCAGTGCTTGCTAGATACTGGGGGACATTAAAAGATTTAGCCCAGGGGCAGCCTATTAGAGTGGTGACACAAAGCCAAGTGCACAAGTATCTCAGAAAAGGGACAATAGAAAGTACCAAGGCTACTAACACAAGGTGGGGTAGATGGGAAGATATTCTATTAGACCCCGATTTGGAGATAGGCCCTGCACAGCCAGTGAGTAAAAAAGCAGCCAAAGAAGTGCCCGAAGAACCGAAGCAGCACGACTGGACTCTCTACACAGATGGATCCAAAAAAGGGTCAGATCAGGTAGCACATTGGGGATTTATCCTCAAATATCAGGGGAACGAGTGCTGCCGTAGAAGGGGGAGAGTACAGGGTAGTGCACAAACAGGCGAAGTTACGGCAGTACTCGAAGGGCTGCTAGAATTAACTCACAAGAAAATAAGAACAGCTAAAATAGTGACAGACAGCCACTATTGTGCACAAGCTCTAAATGAGGATCTAGCCATCTGGGAAGAAAATGGATTTGAAAGTGCGAAGGGCAAAGTGGTAGCTCACCATGACTTGTGGAAGAAAATAGCTGAGATCAGGCTAAATCTGAAGTTAGAAGTAGAGCACCAGAAAGCCCACACCAGAGAGGGAAAATACTGGCAAGGCAACGAAGAAGTTGACCGCTATGTACAGCAGAGGAAAATAGTCTTTGTCGGGATCGAGGAGTGGGACAGAACCTCCGAAGGTCGGAGGGTCCCAGAGAAGTACGTGGAGCAGGTTGTACGGAGCGTGCATGAGGGTCTAGGTCATGCAGGCGTACAACCCACACGTAAGGAGTTGGAGTGTCAGGAGCTCAGGATCCCGTTGAAACAGGTCCGCAAGGTGTTGCAAAACTGTGATGTATGTGGTCAATACAACGCAGGAAGGCGAGGGCACCGAGTGGATGGACAGACCATCAAGAGTACCACACCATGGGGTTCAGTATGCATGGATGTAGCTGGACCTATGGGAGTTACAGGCAAGAAGGGAGAGAAATACCTTCTAGTGCTAGTAGACTCAATGTCAGGGTACGTGGTGGTGAAACCAGCTAGAAAAGCTAATGGCAACAGTATTGTTAGTATGCTGGAACAGGTCTGTGGGTCGTTAGGAGTTCCAAAAGAGTTGAGAACCGATAATGGGACGCACTTCCGCAATGCACAGGTGGATCACTGGTGTCAGACTTTTGGGGTCATGCGCGTTTATTCGCCTCCTTACACACCTCAAGCCAATGGAGTAGCAGAAAGAACCATAGGTTTAGTCAAAAATTGGATAGCTAAAAATGCTAATACCAAAGAATGGAGTACTAAAACTGTGGAGATAGGTCAGGCCTTGAATGACAGGAGAAGAGCTGGTAGACCCTCCCCCTCAGAAGAGCTCAACCAACGATGGTTTAGCACGCCTGAAGTTGGGCGGAGCTCTGAGGATAAAGAGGAACAGTCAGACTCTGAGGCCCCATTCAGGGTAGGACAGAAGGTGTGGGTCAGAGCACAGGATCACCCATCAGCAGTTGCAGTGAAGCCTAAATATAACACCACAGACAGAGTGAGAAAAGTGTTAGACAAAAACACAGTTGAGCTAGAGAAGAAAGGGATCCAAGGAATAGAGCAACTGAAGCCAGTTCCTAGCTAGTAGAAACCAGAAACCAGAGTATGGCCACAGAACCAAGCACCATGCTCCCCTATATTAGACTGGCCACTATATGCGGGGGAGTGATACTAAGAAGAACAGTCTCAGGGCTTTGGACGGGTAGGGCCTTGAGCACACTGGAATATGCAAAGAAAGGATACCTGTCAAAAGAAGGAGAAACCTTCAGGTGGAGCCTGCAGGAGAACAATTGTACGCTCTGCCTGAAACCAAGTGGATTACCCCTTCTCTGGGAAGGACCAGGGATGGAGAAGCCCATCAAGCCTAAAACAAACAAGATGGACGCACGTCAGCTGCAGATAAAACCTGTAAAGGTAATGGACGCATTCATTTGTGGAGAATGCAGGATTACCACATTACCTCGAGCAACTATCATCACACAATGGGATATAAGTGGCAAAGGCCCACAGGACTGTGCATGCGAGTGGGATGGCACCGAAGTAAAATACTGTTCAGCCTGTGATACACAGATGGAGGAAGGCCAACTGCTACACTCTGAGAGGGCAATGGGCTGGCAAGTAAGGAGGTATCACAGTCCCCTCAAATCTTTCAGAGCTCAACTTGATGAAGATGAAACCGGGGCCTCGGAAGGATCCCTGACCGAACAGCAGTATGACCAAGAACTCGTCTACAGTTCTCTAAAAGTAACACCTTCAGCCCCACTACTATATCCAGAACTAGGAGAACTGGATGAAAGAAGAAGAAAGCGGCAGCACAGGAAGAAGATAAATCCCGGAGAATTGCTCGAGCAGGCTGTACATCAAGCCTGGCCTTATGATTCTTCGAGGGGTAAGAAAAGGAATGCCCCCCTCGGTACTCAGCAATTTCCCTTAGTTTTTAGAGTACTTCGAAACCAAACAAGCGCAGGGAGCAAAAAAGAAGAGGCGGGTATGTTACCTGACGAAGAAACCGGCGAGGCTGGACGGAAAGGCTGGACAGGGCCCTGGGAATTAACAACATGGGCTCAGCTGATTATGGAAGTAATTATGAACCAGGAAGTCCCCCTAGTGCCCCTGCCAGACGTCCCCCGAGAGACCGGAACCAGATATAATAACTTGTACTATTGTACTACTAGTCTGGATGGATGGGCCAGGCATGAAGCTAAACCCATGCAGAAAACAGTTGAATTCTTGGTAACCCCTGAAGCTTGGGAGAGGAACGGAGTGCTTCAGATCCCCGGAACTGCTGCACAGAGGGCAGGAACGCCCACAAAGCCCGACTCCACCCAGAGGGTTAAAGTTTCCGTGCAGATGGTCATTGCACCATACCAGGGAGTGTACTCGGTCGGGGCTGAAGTACACCCGATCCAGGAAGAAGGAACGTGCCTGGTGGGAGCCACAGCCCACCCAATTAAGGAATACAAAAACTGCTCGGAGGAGTCAGTAGCGAACAAAACTGAGAAGAAAGGACTGAAGAGTTGGGCCAAAAAAGCGTTCCAAGGAAAATGGAAGCATGCGGACAAGAAAGCACGCAAGTAGGAAATAAACAAGGGGTCGCTGGACTCATCGCTGGGAGCAAGAAAAGAAAAGGTAAAGAACCTCTAAGAAAAACAATAAAAAACACGAGCCACATCTGGAGAAAAATAGGGTGCGTAAAACAAGTCAGGACTATTGAAACATGTCGTGTTAAAACCAGTGCAATAGCAGCCTTACCAACATGGAAATATAAAGTAAATGCTTTTAATACTCAGAGTAGCCATACAACTGAAGAAGAAGTGCAGAATATGTTGTTTCAAGCACCCGGAACTGAGATATATAAACCGGCCCTGCTTGTAAGAGGCCAAGTAGTGGAATTAGACAGACCAAAGAAGGACTTTTCAAACTTCCTGGCAAAAACAAAAAATTATTATAATTCACATCTGCAAACCTTTAGAGAAGCAGATCTCACTAGAGCTAGCCCCAGAGTCCCTGGCCTAACCCTGTTAAGTGATAACTTAAAATTCCCATATAACCCTAGTCCGATGGGAACACCATGGATCTTTAATATGGTCCAAATGGAAATTGAAAATAAATCAGTTACACTCAAGTGGGGACCAAACTATGAAGAACCTCACCAAACAGAATACTGCGAGATCTCTCTGGGAGGACTGATAATCTGGGCCACAAGCCCAACGCTGAGGACAAAAATCAACCAGAGAATAGCGGAACCAGAACGAGTGGTGATTGAAAACACCCAGTTACCCCTGAAAATGTTGTATGATCGAGTCCAAACTCCACTTGACAGGTGGGGTTCACACCCCACACGAGCGGCTAACAGAATAAAAGTATCTTACAGAGGACACCCGCTGATCAGCCTGACAACAGCGCTGACAGAGATGGGAGAAGCCTACGACCAGCATAAGGCCACAAGAGAGGAGCTGGTGGAGCGAGTAATGGGAGAAGCAATGGAGAGATATGGTGATTGGGATGAAATGATTAGCTATCTTGGCGATCAGCTTGAGCCAACGGAGGGTCCCCTAGGAGAACCCTCTGAATGGTCAGTCAGACAATGGAAGTGGGTGTGGCGAGGATTAAGACCGGACTTACACCACCCCTCACCGCTCAGTGTAGAACTTTATAAAGGGCGAGTAACAAATAGAGATCCCAGAGGATCTGGATCCGAACAGCCCGCGCATCCAATCTACCAGAAGACAAGATACCCTAAGCGAGCATGTCTGATTGCACCTTCACCAGGGGCCCCGTACGTGAGGAAGATATTATAGACTCAAAACCCCTTAGCGCTGGAGTAACCAACGTACTAATCCAGTGCAGACAAACTGGCTCGACAATACCAGCTTTAAAAACTGCAAAAGACATAATTTGGCTCGATGAACCAGCAATTGACTTCCTGAAATGGGAAGACCCTACGAGAAATTATTTCTACTCCAATCGCCAGTACAAGAGGCAACCTAATCTAGACGATCCCCAAATAGAACAACATTCAAAGCAAGTGTACCTCCCTAGATACGATGCCCAGCTCCAACCTTGCCCACCAACATCCCCATGGATATTTAATGTGGTCTACCTGACCCTATGGGGAAAGGAAATAAAGCTCCGATGGGGACCCAATTACCACGAGCCATACCAGAGCAGATATTTCGAGGTCTCGATAGGGGGAGTGATAATTTGGAGTACAAGCCCAAGAATGGTGAAAGCCATCAGAAGACGAACAGATGACCCAAAACGGTACGTGTTTGAGAATCAAAATTTGCCTATAAGAATTACAAGATATCGGGAATATACACCGGTTCACGAGTACAGTCCTTGGATAAGAAAGGCGTACACAGTACATGTCCTATACCAAGATAATCCCCTGATAACACAAAAAGAGACATTGCAAGAACATGGTCCAACTGTACTTCAATATTTAGAGGCCCTTTGTAAGGCTCAACGGAAAATAACTGCAGGACCTAACTTTCAACAAAGTTGGGACCTCTACGGACCCCAACCTAAACCCGAAAAATGGCTGGTGACTCAATGGAAATATGTGTGGAAAGGACTACAGCCAGAGCTGCCACACCCCTCTCCTATATATCAAGAACTACTTAAGGGACGGGTGTCAACAGCCCGCAGACACTCAGAACCGAGACATCGAGGACGAAGGAGCAAGGGCCCTTCTCGAAATGATTCACATGAGAAACAGAAACTCCAACAGTGATGATCCAAATAGCGATGATGAAGCGACCCCAAACCGACCTATGGACCGTCAAAGGATTACGATTTTGGATAAAGCAACCTGCCTGCGAATCCTCCTGCGGGGACTCGTAGTGTTAATAGGCTTAGCGATGTTGTTGGTTATCTTATACCAAGCCGGAGTCAGACCCTGGAGCCTGACACATGTGGCAGTTGCCCATGGAAAATCAAAATATGCAGACATGAACTGTTGGGACATCGATACACAGAATATTTCCTTGCCATGGAATCCAAAAAAGAACATCCAGAACCAAATAGCAGCTTGGAATAAATTAAAGAAAGAGGGTCATCAGGCCTGGATGAACAGACTGAGAGTCACAGCAGGATGGAGCGCGGCATTAATGGCCGGAAACCTAACAGTGGCAGACCATTCCACCGACCCAGAATCTGACGGACCCAATTGGGTCGTCACAAATCTAATGATACTACCAGAGAAAAGAGTCATCGGAATAGCAATTTTGAAAGAGCAGATCAAACGATCAACAAGATGTAACTGGATACAGCCCCAGGACGGAACCCCTGAGTGGCACTGCGATTGGATATGTCGACCGTTGATTGGATTAAAGCATCAAGGCTACTGGGACCGAGAAGTAATTCTTCCGGCCCCACCTAAAAACGACAGCTGCCAGGCAATTCTCCCTCGTCGAGAGTTCTGGGGCGACATCCACTTAGATTGTGACCGAATCCCCCCTCTTATTCAAAGGAATCGCACAGGTAAATACCTGAATTCGACCACTAATAAGGTAATTCACACAATACGATATGAAAGAACACTCAAGAAAAATGCTACAGACTGGGGATCTAACAGGCGCCCTACACCGCCTCCCCATGCCACAGTTAAGGCCAAACCGAAGCTCCAATTGCATCAGTACCAAATAGTAGAGATAAATGGGAAAACAATGATCGCCAGACCTGACCTGTTAGAGCAATGTATAAAGACCAAAGTGAATAAGTTACCATATTGTTTTTGGAACTTATATTCTGAATGCCAAACTCAAAATTATCTACCCATAACTCCAGTACGGAATCAGCGTTATTATTACTGGAGTTGGGCAGCCATATTTCACCCCCATAATGCCTGGCATGAGAACTGGTTGAATGCGACATTACCCTGGGTCTGGATTGCGATTGGACTGCCTCACTTCGAGGGTGACTTCGTGGAGGGGTATTCCAGGACGTCTGAGGGCCTCATGGGACCGTATTATACAGACATGTATGTACAAAAACTGCCAAAACCAGATGAGCTTCTCAATGCACCTAAAGGCGATTTTGACAAAATAGACAAATGTGTAGCCGAGCGGATTTTTCTTAGTCTTAACAACTCGGTGTGGCAAAGTAGTGGAGCGTCGCCTAGATGTAGATTATGGGAGACAGAGGTCGCCGTCATGTCCACCTGGCGATATGATTGCTCAGAATTACGCAGACAAGAAACGGTTAAAATCTTGCTCCAAGCATGGCATGAATATCATCAACGAGATGACTCTAGAACATGGTGGGGGTTCCAGGAAGAAGAAATTAGAGAATGGGTAGCCCCATGCTTGCAACTTTCAAATAACTACTGGATTAAGTATCAGTATTTGGCCACGGTCTATTCTAAAGAGCAAGACATATGGGCCAGTCCCCTGTATAGACCGGATAGGTATGTTAGTCCCAGACCATGGCACATGACTTGTGATAAGGCAAAAACACAATGTGTCCTTACATTGGCTCGAAGGCCTTGTGGTACGATACCAGGATGGGAAAGCTACTGTAAGAGTTATTATGGATCTGAATACACCTTGCACGCAGCACAGGTAGTGTGGAAAAAACATAGCGGCAAGTGGAGACGATGGGTACCTGAGGGTCACTGCGAAGATAAGATATTAGGATATCAGCTTAACACCAGGAAACAAGTTCAAGGAGTAATAGTCCCCTTTGTCTCAGATTCAATGATAGCTTTAGTAGAAGGCCACGCAGTGAGACGCAGCCTGTGCTTGGGCAATGAGATAGAGGGCTATGAGTGGGTAGGCCCAAATAAAATCTACTCGAATCTCACATGCCAGTATCCAGAGGAAAACTGGAAGAAATGTGGCACACAGGAAGATGAACACACTTGCGCATGGTATGAAACCGTTAGTTACACCGTTGGCCGAAAGGTCACAGAGGTGGTGAAAGGCGTAGGTGAAGTAATCAAAGAGGGTGGAGAAACGGTAGAAGGATGGATAGTTAGTATCTTCCTCAAAGTATGGCCTTATTTGCTAAGTGTAGTCGGGATAGTAGCCGCTGCCTTATTAGGTAAAGTATTCTTACAAGAGTGCCTCAGAGCTGGATGCCGCCCATGGAGGAGGAGCTATAGGCCACCCCCACCAGAGTAGGGTGCGGCTCAGCCTTAAATTAGATGAACAGGGAAGCGGCTTCACTCTCACCCCGGGAGCAGTAAAGAGCAAGGATCAGGACAGAAGCAATTCAAATATCTCTATGGACAATCAAGACGACTGCATGTCTCATACTCCAACCATCGATGTGAGTATTATAGATTGGCAGACAGAGACTACAATGACCCCGAATCTTACCATTTTGTCAGAATGTCCAGCCTATTTTAATGGGAGCAATATAGAATACTTTTTAACAATGGTTGCATGGATGTGCTACTGCCACACCGGAGACTGGAGTAAGGAAAGGTTGATAAGATTTCCTGTAGCAGTTCAGACTTACGCTAGAGTGATAGTTTCCCATGTGATACTCAAACGACCTGAGATATCGCCTCATTTCTTTGTCACTTATCTGTTAGGAAGAATCAAACTCACCTACCTGCAGAAGATTATAATTTCAGCATGGCTAATAGAAGATTCCATAGTGATTAGCCTTGAATGTGCGGCAGCACTTACTCCGGTACCAATACCAGTCACAAGCTGTGGAGGTACCACAGGGAGAATTGTAGCGACCATAGTCGAAGGGACAGTGGCCGTGACGGTGTTGGCAAATATGCTGTATCAGACAGTATCCTTGCAACCACAAAACAGACGAAAATGGACCAAAAAATTGGCCATCTTAATTGGATGGGGTCTAGTCTGGGGAATTTGTGCAATAGCCTATTGGGCCAGCCTCTGCACCACAATGCCTATAGTGGTGTGGATGATGACCTATGCCGCTATCTTTAAGCCAAGACCTGATCCAGCTCCCCCTGCACCGGAGGGGAGCGAAGGCCGCAGATTCTCAGGAGGATAATGAGACAAGCCAATCTAACGAGATAATAACAGAAGTAATCAAATAACCAACAACAGCTTTACCCCTCCCCGCTTTTGCTAACTTTTATTAAAATTTTAAAGATTGATTTACTGTTTAAATGATATTTTTCTCTCTTTTTATGATTGATTTTATTTTTTGAATTATGTAAACTCGAGGTATCATCGGTCTGGTAAATGCTCAATGGATAGCTGACGGCCTGTACAGGCCCAGCAATACGAAGTTGAGTGTTTCAGAGACACGATGAGGACCGAGAGTGGAAGCAGACCTTGATTTTATTGTTATTATTTTGCCATGTTATATTACATGTACTCTCTTTATAGAAGGCATAAGGAGCAGAATGCAGATGCTGTTCTACATCCTGACCACAGCGACAATCTACAGCAACTGGGCGTTCGCTTTAACAACTCCGGACAAACTCGTAGTAACGACAAAAGCCGGAGAAATCATCCTCTGCCACTGTGAAGAGAAAGTGTACGACCACGAGCAGATCCAGAGGATTAGAGTAACCCCTTGTGGTGACGTATGCAAAATCCAAAAAATAGAAACTGTGGGGCAGGATAAATACATTAGCGTTACTTATAGGGAATACGGCATCTCAAACACCTCAGGATTACTGTTACCTGGGTACTGTGATTGGAAAACAGTGATCACAACCCAACAATTGAACCAATTGGAAGAGTGGGAGAAATTCATAACCCGCACCTATTGTGGGATAGCCAGACGACAGGGCAGAACCACCCTTTATCGGTTTAAGAAAACCTCACTCTAAAACAATTAAGGGCAAAGGTTAAACTAAATAAGCCACAAGAGTCAAAATGCAGAATCAACGCCCCAAAAATTCAACAGCAATAGGACCTCAAATGGTCTGCTGCTATTGCCTTTTGGGGTTAGAAGATACCCGATTTCTATGGGCCGTGGGTCCAACTTGGTGGTGCCAGGGCTGCCACTCTAAAGTTATAATTGCGACTGGAGTACATGGTATTTTGGTCTCTGAGGAGCCAGCCAGTCTTCCTCAGGTATCTGCAGAAGAGTGCTGGGAGGTAGAGAGCACCTGCAAGGTCATCTGGACCTCGGCCGAGGGCTCTGAACCCTATATACCTAGAATAGCCATCCCTAGGAGAGCCACGTATTACCCAGTAATAGTAAAACTCTGGGAAAACACAAATAAAACTATCAGGCATATAGCCTACCATCTGGCCACAGGGTTGCCGTTGGTTCACGGCCCCTCCTTTAGGGTCACACAGGAGCCCCGAGAGCTCACGTCCTCATCTACCACGGTCATTCTAACGGCAGGGTTAACAACTAGCCCCCCGGTAGTCTCCGTGCCTATGGTAGTTAGAGAAGACGATAGACGAGCCAGTGTCAGTGTCCCTACAACCCCACCTGAGGTAGCCAGCCAGTCCCAAGACCCAACTAATGGCCCACCTGACCTTTTGCCAGCTACATCCTATAATGGAACCGAGCCCATGGAGGTAGAGATATCCCCTAGAAGGTTGTCTGAACATCCATTAGATCATAACGATCTAAGTCTCCTGGAAAACTACCTGGATGACTTTGACAGATACTTAAGTAGCGAGGCAAGCCGATCCGGTCCTCTGAGTACCGATGGCACGGCCCTCACTGACCCAACCAGCCCATCTGATTCTGAGCCTCCGATCTTAACACCGGAAGGCTTGACCCATTCAGAAACTACTGAATCTCAAGGGTTACAGGTTGCCCCTATGCGGCTGAAGCCGCTTCGTCAGATGCCCATTTTAGTTGCCACAACCCCACAAGTTAGGAGGCAGGTCATAATAGAAAACATTACTCCTGTAGGTTCACCCCTTGTTGAGATCCCGCCGACCCTCCAGTCTTCCAGATCGGCTGACCTGACGGAGATCAACCCAGCAAGTCAACCCGCTGTCCCGGCACAGGAGGCCAGGATACCCAGAAAGCGAGCGGCGCCAGATGAAGATCAGGCGGAGCAATCCACTTCGAACGCAGACCTGGACAACATGACGGTGGTTGACTCCTGGGAGGGAGAACAGGAAGGCTAGGTTACAGCGAACCTGGTGCAAAAGAGGAGAAAGATCCGACTTCAAGAAGGGGGTGTCAATAAACCAGGTGTCTGTAGTGGTGACACATGGACAGGCCACCAGCTTTAAAGAAAAATGAAGCCTGATCAGAAGTTCTCCTCGGCAACAGCTAAGAATGATGATGTGTAACCAAAGTTTTGCTGTCTTAATAATGTGTAACCAAAGTTTTACTGTTTTAATAATGTGTAACCAAACTGTTTTACTAAATAATCAACACATAATCAACTGATATATATTAATCTTTAAGACATTGTATAATCCTTTGTATGATTGTGTAAGATGGTAAAAAAAAGGCCTCATGTAACAGAACAACAAGTTCTGGAAAGTACCAGAAAGCCACAAGGTTTAAAAACAACTCCTCTCATGATGACTCATCTTGGAGCAAAACAAGTTCTGGAAAGTACCAGAAGTCACAAGGATGACTCATCTTTGAGCAAAACAAGTTCTGGAAAGTCCCAGAAATCTGGTCTAAACCGGTTGAGGTGCAAAACAGCACAGAAGTTACTGGAAAAGAGATGATGTAATTTTCCATAACCCCTCCTTAAGAGGAGGGGGGATGAATAAGTCTTTAAATACAGACTGACCAGAACAAAGGTTGGTCAATGCAGTTGGAGACGAACTGGAGGAGCTGAGCAGAGAGGACTACAGGCGATGGACAAACTCTTCGAATCAGAGGGACCCTAAAAAGGAGTCGGATTATACCAGTTTTTGGACGATGATGGGAGTTAATTCTTTTCTTCACTAAACATGAGATTGGATTTTGGCTTTACTTCATCAACCCAGAAACTGGGGGAGTTTCCTGCTCTGTGCTTGACCTAGGGCCCGTCCAAAGCCTCTGATTCTCTAAATTGGATAGTCCTATTCGCCTTTGAGGATTCGGCCAAGTGTCTCTCCCCTAGAGAACTGGAAATCTGCCCTTACCCCAGGGTGACTCACTAAGGGTCACCTCAAAATCATGGTAAGAGGACGACCTCAATCCTACTCTGCTCTAATTAAATTATTTCATCAGATTGGAAGAACAGCATACAGAACAAATTTGGGAGTACTAAATTGGTTACTGGTAAGATTTGCTCGAAGGTGTTTCTGGTTCATGAGAGAGTTGAGAGAAAATATATTTTGGCTTGAGTTGTGAAAGGTCTATGTGAAGGTAGTATCTGTAAAACCCTTCAAGGGCTCTTGAGGTTTAGAGTTTCACAGATAGCAGTCACCACCTTGTTAGGGAAGAAAGTGTATCCTATGTACTCATGAAAATTTAATCATTATAAAATCGTGCCTGTTGCTGTACCCATGCGCTAATTATTGATTAAAAGCAAAGCAAAATGTATAAATTTGGACTCTTATTTCACTCTTATCAATTAAATACATGGTAAAGCTTGGTTCATCTATCAACACCAATAATAGGAGGTTTTTGTAAAGGTTTCCTAGCTGATAAACAACATCCTTGAGCCCGTTGCCAGGGCTCTAAAGATTACCAGAACAGTTAACAATTGCAACGCTAAAGTGAGAGGTGAGCGGCCACAACGCGAGTTTCTCTGGACTGGAAGATCCATCCCGGCTGCTTGAAGGATCGAGGTACAGAGTGAGATTAGGGTGTGACTCACGGATTTAAGGTCGTTAATATTCTGGATGAATCACCTCGCCGCAACCTTAATGAGGTTATTTTAGACAGCTACTGGTAATACCACGGCGCTGAAGTAGACTCGAGGACCCCTTGGTGGAGAGGTTGCGGGCAAGGGTGTTATCACTATCTCCAGTGGTTACCTTGCCCACCGGAAAGCAGACAAAATTTAACAAGATAAGCACCTAAAACAATTATTTGTTTGCTTGGCATTATTGTAAAGGTGTGTCTCATTTGAACTTTTACTTAATAAGTGCACGTCAATGGTCAAATTAGCTGCATTTCACTGGGGCGGTGCAGCGAAATGAAGCTGATTTAACGGTTGCTCCAGGCAGATGACGGCAGACTATGGCAAGCCATTTGTGTCATTAATAGCCACTTTTACCTATTACATAATACAACAGCATGCCATACATTGGAGTGCCATCTAGCGGCTGAAAATGTAGTGTTCAATATCTTCAGTCAGAATGATTGAAAATAGTCATATCTCAGCCAAAAATTGGTATGTGGAAAAATCCATAAATACGTCTTCAGCATATAAGTTGTAGGGCATACAAACTATGCAAAATGCTGCAACTTATAAGGTGAAAAATATGGTAATTGGAAATGCATATGCAAAATATATTTACTGGACAAATTGGAATATAAATGCTTTCATAAGGTCAGTTATAAAAATACATCTGGACTGTTAACATGCAACAAGGATAAATTGTTAAAGGTCAAATGTTCATCTTGCCTTAAGGGTGTGTGTGTGGAGCAGGGAGGGAAGGTGTGTGTATGGGGGGGTATGTTCCATCTCCATGAAGGATCACTTTGTCCAGTCCAAAGACACCCAGATAGCTTTGCGACAAAGAGTTTATTTTAACAAGACTCCCTTATTCCCTGTGTCCTCATTCCTGTCATTTGTCTCCATCAGGGCAGAAAATGGGTCCCAGAAGGTGAAAATAAGGAGAACAGAAAAAAAAATTAGTTGAAAAGACTAATTGTGGCATAAACCTTGAAACATGTTTTATTTTTTTTTTATGAAATAAATACATAAATCTTCCAGCCAGAGCATGATGCAAATAAAAGTTATCTTCTTGTTATTTCAGAGACCATATGTGATGAGATCTAACACGCCCTCTAATGAGATTCTTCAGATGTTCCACAAAGTTCATCCCACTTATCCAGCAGCCTGGTCTTTGGAAATGAAGTCTCTTCTCAGAAAGGTAATAAAAAGTGCATTTAATGAGCAGAATATAAAAGCAACTATTTGAATATTAGTTAGATTTGTAGTCAGAAGATACAAAAGTAGCTCGTGGTTGTACTTCAGATAGGTTTAAGAATCAACAGCATAATGTTTCTTTTTTTATCTATTCTGTATAACAGTAACAGTAAAAATAATTACCGTAAAACATGTAGCAATACAGTGTCACATACAAAGTAAATCAGTCTTAACACAGTACAATTATAATACTGTGCAAGATCATTATCTTGAAAAGTGGTATATGTAAATGACTGAAATGGAAAATGGAAAAAGTAAAGCTGTTGCATCTAATTTTGCACACCTACACATTTATATTTATTTATTTTCCTGGGCACATATTCTTAATGAGAGGTCACTTTGCTGTGTGAAACTGGAGTTCAATTAACCAAACAAACTTATTCATTAATTGGTATTGCTCAAGTTCAAGTCTATTTTATTGTCATTCGCAACACATGTGGTACATGAGGTGGAATGAAACTGTGTACTCAGGGTCCCAGTTACATTCAGCAATAGCAAAAACATAAAGTGTAAAAAGAAACATTAAATAAGGATCTAAGATATATGTTAAGATATACGCTAAACAAACGTCAAACAGTACGCTAAAAACCATCTAAGATATATGCTAAACACTAATAATGTAAAACAACACAGTGTAATAACAGCAGCCTGAACATGAGTGTGTGTGAACAGATAGTATTTTCATTCAACCTTTATTTAGAAAGGTAAATCCCATTGAGCCTCGAGGTGGTATGAATGAATACAGCAGCATGAGATCATCAGCAACACAGATGTCACATATCACCAATTAAAGTGGCAGTAAAGTGATTTTTTTTTTTTTTACAGTGATAATCCTGGTTAGGGATTCATGAGTCTAACTGCTGCAGGGTAGAAGCTGTTCCTCAGTAGGAGCAGGGCAAAAATTGTGTGTGCTGGGTGAGTGGGGTCCTTCGTGATGCAGGTGGCTCTCTTCCTGCATCTGGAGGTGTAGATGGCTGTGATGGTGGGGAGGCTGACTCCAACGGTCATCTGTGCAGCCTTCACCACCATTGATGGTGAATAACAGGAGAGCATGCATGATTTAAAGACTTCAGTTGTGCATGTTACATAAAACAACATAAAACATTTACACATAGTTAAAAGCAATTGTAAAACCATCAGTGCTAAGGATGGAGCCAGAGATTTTTTTTATTTTTATTAACCAACAGGTTAGTAAGTTCATATATACAGTATTATTTGGCCTAATGAACGCATTCGTTTGTCACCCTGATGACTTTTTCTGTTACAAGTGTTGCCAACACAGTTGCACGTCACTGCAACTTTAACTTACAAATCCAACAGAACCATAACTTCTACAAAAGACTGTCCAAACAGAAACGCTCACATCTTGGAATATGGAACAAACATTATCACAATGAACTTGAAAAAAGATAAAGAATTTATAGTGTTTCTCAAACGTCAGCAGTGTGTCTAAACTTACCAGTTCTTATTACCTGAAGCCACTTGCAAAGCTAAAGAGCCCGCTGTTGTTTTCATGTTTTGTTTTTGTGCTAGAAATGCACTGCAGTCAAACTGTTGCATTGCTTCGTGCTCAGACTCCTCTGAGCTCATTGGTATTCCAGCAGCATGTGTAAATGTGTGTGTGTGTGTGGGGTGGGTGGGAATAAAAAGAAAGTGAGAGTTATCGGAGAGGATTCCACGCCCAATATATTCGTCCTTCATGTTTTTCAGGCCTCACAACCCACTGACTTCTCATTGTTTGCCTTCTAAATGCATTATTTTCTTTTCTTCTCTTCATCTTCAAAATACAGGAAGGATCTCAGGCTAAAATAATAAAAGACATGAAGCATTTGGAAAGACTAAAATGAGCTCAGGAGAGGACAGATGATAAATCATTGACATAACTTCACAAACAAGAAATTAACAATATATAAAATGAACAAATACATTAAAACATGGCAACATACGAAGACAGAGTTTAAAATATACAATGTTGAAGTTGTGATTGATACAAATTTTTTCCCTGTAATAAAAGACTGTGAATATTACAATGAAGAACAGTTTAATGACATCAATATAACAAATGGAGGTCTCTCTATTATTCACTTTAATAGTAGAAGTTTAAATGCAAATATATCCAAAATAACAGATTATTTAAAACACCTAAACAGAACTTTTACAATAATAGCACTGTCAGAGACATGGCTCAACGATGAAAACACAAATAATGTTCACATGGAAGGGTATGAATTATATCATGTGAACAGAAGCAACAAAAGAGGTGGTGGAGTAGATCTATTTGTTAAAAATGAAATAAAATGTAAATTATGTAATGAAATGTCAATAATTGTTGATAATATCATGGAAATAATAACAATAGAAATAATAAACAAGAATGATAAAAACATATTAATAAGTTGTGTATATCGATCTCCAGGATCAAATATAGAAATATTCACTGATAAAATGGTACAACTATTGGACAAGAGTTTTAATTAAAACATTTTTTTTGTGTGGAGATTTTAATATTGACCTGGGAAATAAAACAGATTCAAATAACATCAGTACATTTACAAATTCATTGTATAGTTTAAATCTTTATCCGTTAATATCAAAACCAACAAGAATTACAACTCATAGTGCCACAATAATCGATAATATTTTCACATATGTAACAAATGGGGATGTGATAGGAGCTATTTTAACGACTGATTTAAGTGATCATTTACCAGTTTTCACAATTTATAAAAATGATCAAAGCATTACAAAAGAAATTACAATTAAGAAAAAAACAATAAACACATCAAAAAAAGCAATGGACAAATTAAAAGATGATTTACATAAACAAAGCTGGAAAGACGTGTATGTTGATGATGTGAACAGATCATATGATGAGTTTATGAATATTTTGGGAGCTCTGTATGAAAAGAATTGTGTGCAAAATAATTATACAAAGAGAAATGTTGTTGACCAACCATGGATGACGAAAGGGTTGAGAAATGCATGTAAAAAAAAGAATTATTTGTATACATGTTTCTTGAAATTGAGAACACAAGAGGCCGAAGAGAAATATAAGAAGTATAAAAATAAATTAGTAGCGATTATAAGGAAACACAAGAAGGAATATTATAGTGATTTATTAAATAAAAGTAATGGTGATTTGAAAGCTACATGGCGGGTAATAAATGGTGTTCTGAAAAGTCATAAAGCAAAAACAGGTATTTCACAATTTTTTTTTGAAGGATGATGATGAAATCCATGATGAAAATGAAATTGTAAATGGATTTAATCATCATTTTGTGAACGTTGGATCAAGTCTTGCAGCTAAAATACCAAAAGTAGACAATAATGTGAACCATTCAGTTATAGGTTGTGACAACAGTATTTTTCTTAATCGAACTGACAAAGAAGAAATAATGAATGTAATAAAAAATCTTACAGATAAGAGATCAAAAGACTGGGTGGACATGGATATGATGTTTGTAAAGGACATAATGAGTTATGTTATCGAGCCGTTTACATATATTTGTAATTTATCATTTTCAAAAGGAATATTTCCAGACAATATGAAAGTAGCTAAGGTAGTTCCTCTCTTTAAAAATGGTGATAAATGTGTGTTCAATAATTATAGACCTATATCCTTATTACCACAATTCTCAAAAATTCTAGAAAAACTATTTGTGACCAGATTAGATAAATTTATTACTAAACAAAACATTCTAAGTAGCAGTCAGTATGGGTTTAGAGCAAAAAACTCTACATCAATGGCTCTCATGGAAATAATGGAACAAATAACTACTGCTGTCGATCAAAAACAATATTGTGTTAGTATTTTTGTTGATTTAAAAAAAGCATTCGATACTATTGACCACACTATTCTCCTTGAAAAATTAAATAAATATGGTATAAGAGGACCAGCATTACACTGGGTATCTAGCTATTTGAAAGATAGGAAACAGTTTGTACAAATAAATGGTGTAAGATCTGACCTCTGCAACATCACGTGTGGAGTTCCTCAAGGCTCTGTACTTGGACCAAAGTTATTTATTTTGTATGTGAATGACTTAGTGAATGTATCAGGACTCCTCAAATGTGTCCTTTTTGCAGATGACACCACATTTTTTTGTTTGGGTGAAGATGTAAAACGGATGTTTGAATTGATGAAGACAGAATTTGATAAAATACAAACTTGGTTTAAACTTAATAAATTATCATTAAATTTAGATAAAACTAATTACAAGATATTTAGTAACAAAAAAAGAACTGTTGATGATCCATTTAAAATTGAGGGTGTTGAGATTTGTAGAGTTAATGAGATGAAAATTTTGGGTGTAATCATTGAAGAACAGCTAACATGGAAAAACCACATAAATTATGTAAGAATAAAAATAGCTAAATCTATTGCAGTACTATACAAAGTCAGGGAATTATTAAATGATAAAGCTCTGTATATGTTGTATAACACAATCATTGTTCCACATTTAATCTATTGCATTGATGTTTGGGGGAAAGCGTGTAAAATATTCACAAAACCTATTTTTATTTTACAGAAAAGAGCTGTAAGAATCATCACCAGAAAGCATTACAGTCACCCATCAAGCACATTATTTTATCAACTTAAGTTATTGAAGTTCCATGATTTGGTAGATTATAGTATTTTATCAGTTATGTATAGGGCTCAAAATAGCACATTACCATTAAATATTCAAAGAAATTTTGTTAAAAGGCAAAGTTGTTATAATCTTAAGGGGATAGAGATATTTGTCAAACCAAAATTCAGAACTAGTCTGAAGGGAAGGTCTACCTCAATCCAAGGAGTTGGATTGTGGAATCGTCTAGAGAGTGATGTAAAAAATGTCAAGTCAATGTGTACATTTAAGAAAAAGATCAAAGCTGAATTGTTAAAAAAGTATATATGAAGTAGCTTAGTGTGTGTTTTTTATTAGAATTAGAAAAATTAGAAAGAGTTATTCATTTTGTTCTGTTACTTGAAGATTATTATGTCTGAAATAATTGTTTGAAAAAAAGGGGCAGTTATAATACGATTTTTCTTCTTTCTGCTGCCTTTCCTTTTAAATCTCTTGTATCTTTTTATATTGTTATGGAATTCAAAAAGCGTTCAATACAATGAACAGTCAGTCAGTTATGGAATTGTTTTGTACTTTTTTAAAATGAATAAACTTTATACCATACCATATCTTCATCTTCTTCCTCCATCACTCCTTATCTCGTACCCCTTCCTCTGTATCTTCATAATGTCCCTACATCCTCCTCCTCAGACTCGTGCTTAAGTGCAAACACATACTTTGGTCTCAGAGGGACTCAGCTTCCACCTTCTCATCTGTGCCACTATTAAAACACTCATTTTGTACTTTAATCTTTTTTTTTCTCTCTCTCTTTTTCAGCTGCTGTGCATAGATGTCCAGAAGCGCATCTCTTGTCTTGCAGAGCTCCAGGATCTGGACTACATGTCAGACGTAAACTGGGACGCGGTTCTTAGCAAACAGCTTTCTCCAGGCTTTATTCCAAATGTGAGTGTCAAAAATAAAGAAAACAGTTTCAAATTACGACACAACCTAGCATTTCTTGAAGGAATGCATGTGGCCCACTGCCTCTCAAGTTAGAGCTGTTTATGTCCTGTAAATGTTCAATCTCATGTAATGCTATGAGAGCTCACAAGATTGTGTCAGCATTCAGAATATGTGTTAAGGACGAGTCTCAGCAACTACCACATAAACTTCAGCTTATACTCATTTCTGTGTTGGCAAAGATCAGTTAGTTATGGTTGGGTATCTTGAATTGGATTGACTCCAATAGTCAATTTTTTGTACATGTATGATGATTTATTTCCAGAAGTTCATGAGATAAGCACACTTGTTGTACTTATTAATGTTACTTAGCTTTGGCAGTTATCTCTGGAATTCTAAAAGTGACTTTAAAAAGTAATTAGTTAATAAGTAAGTAAGAAGTAGTACCGGTAATTACTTCTGAAGGCGATGGACTAGAGACCTGCCCAGGGTGTCCCCTGCCTCTTGTACAGTGACTGCTGGATACGGGCACCAGTGGCCCCCGTGACTCAAAAAGGAAGAAGTGGATAAAGATAATGGATGGGTAGCTGGATGTCACATACATAGAGCAACAGTGCATAGGTCTAATTTTTGTACATTAATAACATTTGCAACACAGAAACATCTCTCAATTTACTTTTTTGTTTATGTGTTTTCGTTTAAGAGACGGAGACTAAACTGTGACCCCACGTTTGAACTGGAGGAAATGATCCTGGAGTCCAAACCTCTACACAAGAAGAAAAAAAGACTTGCTAGGAAGACCAGAGAACAAGGATCTGATGGATCTCCACAGGTATTTATTTTTTTTTATTTGTTTCTGCATTTTGTAAAACACTGAAATTTCAATTGATCAATCAAGTAAACTTTGACATGACACACTGATTAAAAACTGAGAGAAAACTGTTGATTTTTGTGCTTATGGACTGTTTTTACAGCTGGACGATCATCGTACTACTATTTTAGAAGCACATTTTGTTGACTTGTTTCCCAAGACTGAAAAGCTTGTATGGAGCTGAAAAGAATGAATAGCAATTCTCTGTTATGATCCTTCAGGGATCATTGAAAAAAAAATCTAAGCAATTTATTCTGTTGGGAAAAGCATGAATACAGAAAAAAAATATGAAAGTGTTACAGAAAAAGCTACATTCCATTCTGGTTCTGTCTAACACTTAATGTTCTAACCATCCTGCATATTTTAGATGTTTCTCTGCTCCAACACATCTGATTTAAACCACTGGGTGATTAACAGCCGCTGCAGAACATGACGAGGTATCTCAACCACTGAATCAGGTGTGTTGGAGCAGGGATGCAAATAAAACATTCAGTATAGTGTAGTCCTGTCATGATCAACAATAAATCAATTAATCGCATAATAAATGAAAATGATCAACCTCATTTTCATTTATTATTATTAGTTTTCAGGATAAATGTTATTTTTAATGATCATGAAATCAGATGAAATAATGGGAAATAGTCAGCCAAATGGGAACAAAGACTCAGATTTTCTAAATAATTAGAGTCGTATGGGCTCATTGAAGCATATTAAATATGGCTAAAAATAACAGATGACTAAAAGTTTCATATGTTGACTAACATTACCCCCAAAGTTTAAGTTCTTCTCATTTGAATCTAAAATACTGAGCATAAAATGGAGCTTCTCCATGCTGATGTGGTCAAACATCCTTTTCTTTCATCATATTTTGCAGCGTTTGCTGATGTTTGTTTCTGTCAGTCAAGGAGAGCACTTGCTTTGCTGTCTATAAATATCTGTTTGTGTTTGTGGACAGGTTTAACATATCCATTTACCAAGGGCCTGAGGGGCCACTTGTGATAGATGGATTCAAGAGAGAGGCCAAAAATAAAGAGTTTTGTGTATGTGTATGTGTGTGAGTGAAGAGAGGGAGAGTATGACACTACTGAAGCATATCAGATCAATATTGAATGAAGAATGTTGGCCTTATGGCTGTCCCAGTGTGCTTTTGCCCATTACCTTGCAGCTGTTCGGTATTCCTTTAGCACATTTCTTCTTTCTTTCTGTTTCTTTTTTTTTCATTTTCACTTTAACATTTTTCTCCTTTATCCAGAACATCCCTCAGTAATGTTTTCTTGATGTCATCCCGACTTACTCCCATTAAAATAAATGTTCCCTTCCTCATCTGTTCTTCTTTGTTTAGTGGGTTTTATCTCTGTGTCTCCTCCCTCTCTTATGCTGCTTCGGTCATATTGTACCATGAAATCAGCTCTGTTAAATTACTGCTAATACACTGCAGAAAATTGAACGTGCGCTTTGAGAACAAAATAAATCTGCACTCTAGCTTTTCACAACGACAACAACCACAAACACCTCTCTAAATCACAAGAAGGTGTTCAAGTTTATTGCCTAGTGTTTATTAAAGGAATATCACCATCACCTTGCATGCCAGTTTTAGAATATCATCTGATGATGGTAAATGACAAAATTGGTGGTTAGGGTTAGGGTTAGGGTTAGGTGGCTGTTTGGAAATAAGGTCATGTGCAATCTCATGCAATATTGCATGCAATATTGCAAGATGTCACACTCAGGTGTTGTTAATGAATGAACTACTATGACATCAAATCTCAATTCAATGTGTGTACAATTGACTTGGAGTCCTTTATGTGTTGACTCATGCTGATTAGCTGTGACAGCTATCTTGAATTGGATTTGCTCCAAAAGCGAATTAGTTGTAGATGCATACAACAATCACTTTATGACAGTTTCAATAAAATCTCTTCCGTGGTTCATGAGATATTTTACAAATACACACAGTTGACACAAAATAGTTATTGACTTAGCTGTAAACAGAAGTTTAACATCAGCTGAAGATGACTGAGTCAAAAATCAGCATGTTAGATAACCTTATATATCTGATGATGCTACAAATATACTTCATCCATACATTCATAATATTTTACCCACTTCTTCCTTTTTGGGTAAAGGGTGTCACTGGTGCCCATGTCCAGCAGTCACTGTGAGAGAGGCAGGGGGCACTAACAGGTCACAAGTCACAAGGACATATAGAGACAAATTAGACAAACAACCATTCACTCTCTCACTCACACCTAGGGACAATTTAGAGTTACCAGTCAGCCTAATGTGCATGAATTTGGTCTGTGGGAGGAAACTGAATGTGAGTCTTCTGGCTGTAAATAAATAGACGTAATTGAAAAGTTGCTAAATTTTAGATTCAGGTAAATTAATGGGCTATTGGAAAAGAAGCAGAGGGCTAAGTGTGTGTGTGTATATGTGTGTGTGTGTGTGGTCGGGGGGGGGGGGGGGGGACTGAGGGTAGACACAGTTTTGTGTGAGTCACTGTTTAAAAATACAAAGTCAGAGATTGCTGTGAATGAGCTAAGGGGTAAAATATATATATTTTTTAATCAGAGCTTAATTTGAGTTATTAGTTTGCTTTGTTTGTATTTTAGGTCAAACTCACTTCACTGGTTCAATGATTCATGCTGTGCACATTACAAGTAACAAAAGTCAGCCTCAGGCAGAAACACTGCTGGCTCGTACATGGACCTTCAAAAAAAAAAAGTCCCTTTTGGGCTCCCATCCAGCAGAACACTCCTCCTTGGTTTGTCTCATTAAATGGAAAATTTTAATTTAGCATGTAGACCAATTAGCTTCTAAACAGTTAAAAAGCATTAAGTAAAGGAAGAAGGGGTAGAAAGAGAAAAACGAGAACTGCCAGCACCTATAGCTCTCTGTATGGACAGAAGCATTTTTTCTTTTTACTTTTTTTTTGTCCAATCCATCCATCTGTCAATATTTAGTTACAATTCTAACAAACGAGTAATGCAATAAGAGTCAGTGCAATAAAAGCATGGTGCATTCAATGACTATACATTACCTATGTCATTGCATTAATTAAACTTAGGTTTAGGAGTTTCTTTTGGTTTGTATACTGATTTTACATCTGAGACCTGATGTCTCATTATAGCTAATAATACTATTTATATTACTATTCATATTTCTAGTCTAATATTTCATGTTTTTATATACATTACTTAATCTTTAACTCATACTTACCAGTCTGCAGTTCTCTTTTTGTCAACTGCATCAGGCATATCTGTTACAGGTTTAACCATCATCTCTCCTTTCAGTTGTCTTGCCTAAATTTAATTAACAGTTTTCAGATGCAGTTGGCATTTTATTTGCTTCAAACCCCCCTGTTAAGAATATTGCCACCGACCATCAGCTCTGGCCTGGAAATGAATGCGGTTTTCCTCACTTGCTCTCGAGCATGACAAATGCTTTTCTTCCCTCTCCTGCCTTCCTCCTACCTTTTTGCTCTCTGTTCTGTGTATTGGAGCTTTTATTTACACATCTTCCGAATCGTAAATTACTGTCATGGATTTTGTCATTTGGACTTTCAACGCAAATTTTTTTTTTTTTTTCAACCGAGCGACAATGTCCTGGAGAACCCTCATGCCCCGGTGAGACCCATGCGACAGAGTACATCATGGATATGTTGTGCCTTTCTGTGTAGTCTCAGGAGGATGCTGAAGATCATTGGATTTATGACAGCGGGGTTTCTGCTTTTTGTCACTGTTGGATACATGTGTTATCGGCCATTAAGGAAGACGTGGCAACAGCTTCAGTCATAGCAAAGCTGCCTACCTTATGTGAAGGATCAGTTTGTGCTTTGAGCTCTCAGACTCAGCTGATTTACAAGCTCAACTGTAAGATGAAAGTGATTTATGAGAATTGTAGGCCACTTGTGGCTTCTGGAACTCACCAGCATGTTGGGATCGACCTTGGAGGAAGCTATAAGCACAGACCAGCGGAAAGCCCACAAATCTGGCCATTTTGGATATCGAAAGTACCAGCAGAACTCAAGGCTGATGAGAAATAACAGTCTGCCTGCACAAAAAAAAACAACAGTGGCTTATCTGAATCGGACTTCCCCGTTCGGACTTTAAGTAGGCCAACTTGTCAAATTTCATCAGCGATGTGTGTAAACTAAGGAGGTTCTACTCTATCCATCCCCCCGAGAACTTCAGTGCACGCACTTATCAGAGCTGTACCGGCTGACACCAACATCTTATCAGGACTATGGTGCTATCTGGAAGTGCTTCATGGACAAATCTCACCGTCTTGTCCTCAAATGCATATGTAATGTGTTATAAATGTGCTTGCTAGTAGAGTTTTTTGATGTCTTAAATCATGTCCTGACAAAGACAAGGTGTGAATTGATCTTTTTTGCAATACCACTATCCTTTCCTCATGGTCTTTCCACTTTTCTATCTAAAGAATAAAGGGCTGTGCTCTCAGAAGCAGCAGTCACGTGCACTCCGCCCATCTTTCGGAGAACTGTACGGAATACAATCTCAATGTACTTTGGTGCAATGATAATAAAGCTTATTCTGAATCTGATTCAGAACCATTTCTTAGATTTTAGAGCCAATATGTCCGAGCTTTGAGAGGACTTTGCCTGCATGGGGATACATGTTTGATCATTTTATTAAGGATTGGGCTGCGTGTCCTTGAATGCTCCAGTAATCAAAAGGTTTGGTAAATACTATAAAATTAGAACCTTTTAGATATCCCTAAAGAGTCCATTTGGCATTTGTTAAAGATAAAAATATTCCTCTTTCATGTTTTTTTTTTTTTTTGGTGAACACACTACACAGAGTAAAGCCCGATTTTAATGATGTACCTGAACACTTTCTCACCACGCTGCCTTCACAGGGAACTGATAAAGCACCTGTCTAATTGTCTTGGCACAACAGTAGAGTGAGAACAACCTGGCATCAAAGAGCTTGTGCTGAAACACACGTTGAACTGGGCCAAACATAGAAAGCAGGTGGAAACATAAGAAAAGTGTTGTTTAAAATTTGGTTATTTCCTCAACTTGTATCATTTTAAAGGAAGAAAAACTGAAAAAGTGATAAATGCAGTAGGTACATTAAACAATGTGAACAGCAGGGACATACAGAGCATACAATGTAATCCATTCTGAAACAGAAAACGTGAATATGTTGTAACTGGTCTGGATTTTGTGTTTGCTTTGACACAACTGTCAGACGCTTAGTTACCAATCTGCTTTTGTCTTTTCCTCAGAATGGACAGTTGCAGCAGCGTTTGGACAGTGTCCAGAGGGACTTCATTGTCTTCAACAGAGAAAAGTAATGGAGTATCAAAACATGCAACTTATACAACCTATACTGCTTTGTTGCAAAATAAATGGCAGGAGAGCATTATCCCAATGCAATATACTGCATATGAAATATACAAAATTTAAAAGTTTTATTTATTTATGTATTTTAACAAACATGAACATTTTACTAGTAAAATGTACTTTTACTATCAATGTGCTATTTTAAAAGTTGCAATTTGTAAAATTTTCTGTTTTCTTTTTTGCATTTTTCCCCCACTAATAGAATAGTATTTTTATGAGAACTGTTGTACTTTCTGTTCTGGCATTATTTAAATAATGTTTTTCTTTCATCAGGTCAAATAAAACTGTAATGGATTCTTGTGAGCTATCCACAAGCAAGACGAACAAGGCGATAGAAGATGGACAGAACAACAATGTCGAGCCAGTCGCTTATTTATCAGGATAGGCCTCATTCCCGCCTCATTACCCGCACCTGCCTACAGCTTACAGAGTGGCAAATTAACACGGAGAAACTAAATGTTCAATAACACATCCGCCATGACTGGTTTTCTACGTTCTTGCACTCCTAAAGTCGTCTGCACATACACAGAAACAGCACTGTATGCACCTGTTTATCAGCACTCGCTCAAAAACTAAGAAAAGAATAAAGAAAAGAAAAGCTGCAAGATGTTCAGAGTGCTGGAGTGAAATGGACTCCCGGTGCAGCAGCCATGTCAGAAGCTGACTCTTTACTTTCCTATCACCAAAAGGATTGACTCTAAGCAGACTGTCACATATTGTGCTCCCTTACGTCCCTCTGGTGCTCTTATGTCTACTCTGGTCTGAAGCAAGAAGAAAGACAGATTCTTGCTAAAAGATGACAAGAACACCTACTTCTAAAATTTGAATGTAATAAGACAGATTTTAAAATAAGGACTTTTCTGGTTAAATGTGGTCATTTATATGAGTCTTGCTATCCATGAAAACTAGATAGACTGGTAATGCACAGACAAGTAGTTGATTAGATCAGTGGTTCTCAAACTAGGGTCACCGGACCACCGGAAGCCGGTGCTTGGGAGGTCCAAAAACAAAGCAACCCCCCCCCCTTTTTTTTTAAACAACAGTTAAAATACACCAAAGTGCAGGAAATCACATCTACATTATTCAAAATTTTCTGGGGAAGGAACACCCCCTACCCCCATTATTTGCGTTCTGGCATTGATCGGTTTACATATTAAACCTGGTTACTTGGTATGACTACCGCATAATTTTGTTCAGTTTTATGTAAAGACTTTTCTGTAATACTTTGAATGTCACAATTGGCTAGTTCTGGTGCACCCAATGGTGCAGGCAGACAGGCAAGGACTCAAGATAATATAAAACAGGGAATTTATTTTGCAAAACAAAAGAGCTGATGGGGCAGCAAACTTACATAAACCAGGAGATGAACATGACAAGCAGACTAGGCATCACAAGGAACAGGACAGGACATAAACAGTGAACAGATAGCAATGCCAGGACAAGGACTAACACAGAGACACAGACTTATATACAGGAAACACCAATTAGACCAAGTGATGGCACCTGTGAGTAATCACAGATGCCAGAGAAAGAGACAGAGAATGCAAGACATGAACACAACACAAGATGGGGCTAGATACTAAAGAAACACAAACCCTATAAAGTGAAGAAGTGGCAATAGAAGAAGAGTGGCAATGTTCATTAAATTAATAGGTAAAGTTTTAAAGTGGTTTTTGATAGGGATGCACGGTATTATCGGCATGGTATCGGTATCAGCCAATATTAGCAATAAGTTCAATATCGGACATCGACCATTCCATCAAAATAACTCACCGATATAAAAGGCGCTGTTATTTTTAATATATTATACTTTGTATATTAATATAGTGTTGCATCATTTTCAGCCCCCTTTTTGGTATCTGCATTTGGTAACAGGCCAAACTGACAAAGACCATGCAGAATAATATAGTATTTTAATTCAACAGCAGAGAAGTAGTCTCTGTAAGTAGGTCTAGGGAAAAATATTGATATTGGTATTGGTTATCGGCAAAATAAGTTTTTACATACCAGCATATGGGATATCAGCCAAAAATCTTGGTATTGGTTATCGGCAAAATAA